ACTGGCATTCTGCAGAGACCGAGCGTGATGGGATGAAAGCAGACCGTCAATCCTCCACGCGTCAAGATAACATGAACGATTCGAGAAGAATCCCTTCCCTAGAAGCTAACCCTCAACTGTGAAACCTCACGGAAAACTCAGGCCTCCTACTTCCCAACAAAATATAGACGCGTCACACAGAGCACACGGGACCTGCGAGGACTTTGTAAAGGAATTGTGCAGGGAAAAGAACGGCTTGGTGATCATCTCATCTTGGGGAAGCTTTCTTCATCCTTGGAGACTGGTTACTGGCCGTGCTGTGATGTATGCGCAGAAGTGCCAGGACCCTGCCGACAAAGGATGAACCGGTCCTTTAACTTTGAGGCTGGACAACTTAATTGGTATTATCTGTATCTGCTGAGCTTAACGACAAATTCCAATTTGGAAAAAGCTGTTGTTAAAACAAGTGCTATGTTTGGGTTCCCGAGTTCCGGGAGTCGCAAGGTCACCTGTGTACCTGCCCCTGCCTTCAAGAGACTGACCCCTCTAAGAATGTCACGGCACAATCTCTGGAACCACGATATTCTCTTTTATCCAGAAGTTGAGGGCTTTTTTCCCCCCTATATACAATTTCAGAATCTTCGGGGGGAGAAAAAAAACATGGTCCAAGAAGTAGAATAGGATGCTTCCTCTGGGTAGCAACTAAAGAAGTGATAGTTTTGGTTCAGCACCATGTACCTAAGCCTACCTATATCGCCTGAACCTGCTTGGATCCCTAAAATGAGGGCATACCCTCCCTCAAGACCAGCAGGAGGCAGAAGGACAATGGGCGACTGTGAGTGGGGTGGGAGAGAGGTGTGAAGTGGGAGGAGTCTTGGAAAATTCAAATGTTCTGAATATTTTCGAGTCATATAATGTAGACATATTGCTGACATGTATGCGTGTCCTCCGTAGCAAAGCTTATTTCACACGTGTCTGTGGCCAAACTTTCCATCGGAAGGCGTTGAGGAACACGCTTACCGCAAGATGAACCTGCCTGGAGAGTTAAACACCATAGCAACCTGCAGCGGAGTGTGAAGATGCACTGCTTCTAATCAACTTTTAACACAGCTTGGTGAAGAGTATTTGTCTCCCTGCTCCTTTGGAGTTAAAAAAAAATGCACTGATAAGTTATAAGAACAATGGGGCCATGCAATGGCTTAACTAATCCACTTCCCATCCAGCTCCCTCCTTACGGCCTGGAAAAGCAGTCTAGGAAGGCCCACGTTCTTGGGGCCCTATACCCGCATGGGAGCCCTGTAGGAGGCTCCTCTAGCTCCTAGCTGCAGATCAACTCAGCTTCTGTTGCAGCAGCCATTTTGAGGTGAGCCAATGGATGCAAGATCTTTCTCTTTGTAAATCTGCCTTTTCAATGAAAATATTTTTTTTTTTTTAACAAAGTGTAGAGTGATGTCCAATAGCACTCTCAATGAGCCTGGATTCTCCCACATACATCTCTCACCGGATGTGGTAGAAATCGTAAGACCACCGACTTGAGGCTATCCTGACAAAGGCAACAAAGCTGAGCACAACAAGGGGAAAAAAAATTTCTGGGAAGGAGTTACTGTATCATGAAACCGGGAAATCACCCTGCTCAGAAAGTGTCTTTGTAAGGCCCCTGAAGCACTTTGCCGAAGATGGGTCAGGATAAAAACGCTGGTCCTGTGTAATCAGGAAAGAGGCATTCATTTCCATTATCTCAGCTGATTCCAGGTCACCGAGGAGGAAGCACTGGCTCCGGGGCTGGGATGTCCCCAGGTCAGCTGAGCTGCTCAACGGCAGCCTGCTTCTCCAACGAGGCCCCAAGAACGCTCGAGAAAGCCACACAACCTTTGTTTTCGTTTCAGCTAGCTACCTGCTCATTGTTCAAGAATATGTCCCTTCCTATGTGGGTAAGGATCTAAAACCCTGTAGACATCCAACTAGAGGGGAAAACGCTGGAACTTCCCTTTCCTTTTGTTAACAAGCCATCTTGTCAACTTTACTGGATGCATATTGGGAGAAAAGATTGAGCTGGTTTTTTTTTTTTCTGCCTCTTTGCCTTTTTGTTTTTCACCAGTTGTTCAATACTGATACTTATACCCATATTACTCTTAAAGTCACATTCTTATAATGTCTGGCCCTTATTATTATTATTTAGTATTTTGCACAGGTGCATACTTTTGATAAAGGCAGACACTCCTCCTAAATTTGTTTTGTCACCTGATCCAAGAATCTCCCGAGCCTGAATTAGTTTGAACTTGGTTCCAAAGCGACCGTGGCCAGCGCAGGGGAATCTTGCGGGGCCGCTGTTTGGCAGCAATCGAATGGGGAAAGGCGCCCGAGCTTGCACCTTCCAGCCGGCCAAGGGCCGAGGTTCTTTCCGGGTCGACCTCCCAGGCAGTCAGTCGCTGGGAACGCCTGGTCAGGTCCCTGGTCAGGTCCCCGTCGCCTGGGTGGACCTGCGCGCGCCTCCTGGCGGCCGGAGACGACCACCCGGCGCCTGGGCACCAGGGGGACGCCCAGCCGCAGCGCCCCGCCGCGCTGCAGGCGCCCGGAGCCTCCCAGTCACCCGCTCCACTCTAATTGCTGGCGCCCACGCACAGACCTCTCTTCACCCCGGCAGGTAGCCTCTGGCCTGCTCCGATGGTGACCCGGGATCTTGGCGTCGAGGCTCGGCCATCCGGCTAGCCGGCGATGGCCCTGGTTTCTGCGCATTTTGCATGACCTGGGGCGCCTGGGCAGGCCCTCACAGCAGCCAGCGGGGGCGGGGGGGGGACTCGCATTTCAGAGGGCAGCCGAGCGCACCTCCTTGGCCCCCGACCCGCGCGCAAGGGGGCCAAGCCCCGGGAAGGGGAAGAACTTGTAATCGCTTGCAGCGGGACAATGCCGACTTTTGAACCTGTAACCACTAAGCAAACAACCCTTGTGCTCTAGCTCCACTGTCCAAACAGGGTTTATTGACAGGCGTTTCATGGCAACGCATAGCAACCGCGCGGGCGGCCGGGGGACGGGCACGTAGGTGCGGCCAGGGCGCGGGGCCTGCGCCTCGACAGCCCCCACCCCTGGGAGCGGGGGTGCAGATGGGATCACCCCGGCCCTGAGGCGGGACATCTCTGTCTCCCAGGCGTCGGCAGCTCCCTGCCCCTCCCTCGGGCTCCTAGACCAGGCGCCCACGGCCCACGGTCCCCAGAGCTGGTTTCTCAATCCCGGAACGGAATGCGCTACCCGGAAGGACCGCGGGACTGGGGTGGAGGTGCTGCGGGGGGACTTGCGCCAGCCCTGCTGGCTCCCCTTCCTTCTGTAGGGGCGAGGACGTGGCCTTACAAATTCTTGAAGGACCACCGAAATGGGAGAGGGCAAAGCCCTTCTTTCACAGCACAAAAACCTCGAGGAGGGCCGTTGTCTCATACACCAGAAGGGATGTGAGACTCAGCAAGGAAAAGTTTTTCCGGCTGCTTCTTGGGGGCGCGGGAAGGACAGCCAAGGGCATGCAGGATAAAGCCCAAGGGGCGAGCTAACGATTCGATTCCAGTAACTGTTACCTGGGGAAAACAGCAAGCCCGGGCTGCTTTTTTTTTTTCCCCCTTACCTGGTGTGGGCATCCCCCTAGGAGCCAGGACCAGGGCGGGGGGCGGGGAGGAGGTCACTGTTTGGAACTGCCCCGGTGTGTTTGCGGCTGCAGGGCCTCTCACCCCCAACCCCCACAGTCCCCCAGCAAGTGGGCCAGCAGCTGACCATTCATTCAGATGTGCATTTTGCCAAAGGCACCCCTAGGAGAACCACGCATTCCACAGCGCAAGGCTGGGCCCAGGCTTGGGGGCAGGGCAGGTCTCACAACCTGCAGGGGCGCACCCCTCGGGCTCCTGACGGGGGGGGGGGGGGGGGGGGAACCTGGCTCTCCAGATAACCTGCCTCAACCCTCTGCCTTCTCGAGGTTTTCCAATTCCACCTGGCAAGCAGAGAAGGTATTTCATCTCTTAAAAAAAAAAAAATGATCCTAACTCTAAAAAATGAGTACAGAAGCTGCAATCCGGCGAGCTCATTTATCTCTTTTCAGAAAACATTCCACCGTGTTCACAGACAACACCCCCCCACACACACACTCCCTTCACCGCGTCTCTCTCTCTCCCACCATGGATCCGGAGGCGTCTGTTCAACTCCCGGCTGGTATGTCACACAGACCAACGACGCGAACGGCAGCAGCAACAACACCACCACAGCCCTCCCCCTGTCCTCCTCGGCCCCAGAGATTGTGGAAATGACAGGAAGTCCAGGCGGGCTCTGGCATTTACAGCACCGACATCCATTCAGCCCAGAGCAGTTCTGGTGACAGGCTTTCTAAACAAGGCCTGTGGCGAGGGGCGCCCGCTCCGTCGGGCCTGGAGTCCAATAACCCCACGCCTCACATGCGGCTCCCCCCACCCAACGCACACACCAACTCTCTCCCTCTGCGAGGCCAGCACAGGAAGGCACAGACCACCTGCGGCGGGGAGGGGGCTCCGCAGTTGGGGACCCGCTCAGTTTCCTAAGGCTGCCTCTGGCTTCCTGGGCGGCAGCCTCGCCCTCCGACGGCAGCCAGCAGCAGGTGGCAGCCCTCTTGGCCGGCAGAGTGGCCGGTGCTGCGCTGGCTCGTGCGCTCTCGCTCTCCTTCAGCTCCCACCCGAGGAAGCAGCCCGCAGGTTTGGGAGGCGAGGAGCTAGGGGAGAGTTCCGAGAGCCTGGTCGGTGTGGGACAAGTCCTGGCCGTGGGTTCTCAGCCAGCCCGGTAGCGAGGCAAGCCTCCAAGGGCTCCGTTTCCGGCCTGCTCACGGTGGGGGCACATTCAGCCTGGAACAAGGGAAAATGTGGAAGGCTTCTTCCTGCAGCGCCCCCAAGTCCGGCTCGGCTTTCCCTCCGAGGGCCGGGTTGGGAGGTTTGTGCGGGTGTGGGCGCCGGGGGCGAAGGGGACTCTCTTCTCAGGAAGTCCACTCCCCCTGGCCACGGCTCAGCCTGGAAGGGCTGGGAGGCTCACTGGGTCACGGTGGGGTTGAGCACCCCCGCGGCGGGCCCCAGGACCCCGGGCACCGAGCCGGGCACGGAGCCCTGCAGGGAAGGCACGGGACTCAAGGGCTCCGGGACGCTGCGCATGGGCCCGGGCTGTGGCTGCGGAGCCTGCTGCGGGGGCGGCGGCGGCTGCGGGGGCTGCGGCTGCTGCTGCTGCTGCTGCATCTTCTTCTTATTGATTTTCCTTTCCTTGGCCCTGCGGTTCTGAAACCAGATTTTCACCTGGAAACGGACAGGTGGAGAAGGGGTGAGCACGACGCTGGAGGACCAGGCTCTAGCACGGGTGCAGCGCCCTCACCAACTACCCACCCCATCCCTACCATTCTAGAAGCGTCTCCTGGATAGGTCCCACACGGCCTAGCACGGGAGCTGCCCCAAACCCAGCTCCACTTCCTTCAATGAATTCGCCCCCTTCCTTGCTCCCCACGTTTCCTCTCTGCGTCTTTTGTGGGTTCTCTGAACCAAAGGAAACAGAAACCATATGCCAGGGGTCCAAAGCCAGTGGGGACCTCCAAGGACAGCCTGAGGCCTTTGGTGTATCTTATTGCCCTGCCCCCACCTTGGAATAGAAAGTAACATTGAAAGTGGAACTTCCTGTTCATGAATGTGGCCTTGTTTTTTTCTAGACAACCAAGCATCTTCATGAGTTAAATTTTGCCCCGCTTCTGTGAGCAGGTATTCTTGTTTTAAGTTTCCCCCTAGTTTTCCTATCTCCCATTTACTTTTCTCAGGAACAAAAATAATAGGTATTTAATAGGTCTGGCATGACCTGGGTTGAACACATAACACTTTAGCTTTCTCTGGTTCCTCCAAGATCACACTAAATGAATAAATCAAATGCTCATATTACATAATTATATTCAACAACATTCAAAAAAAGGCTACTGGAGGTAGAGGAAAAACCCTCCAATAGGCGAAAACTCTGGGCCGTGTGCACCGAGCGGCCGGGCCAGGCTGCTGAGCAGGCCCCTTGGCGTCCCACCTGTCTCTCCGAGAGCCCCAGCGTGGCGGCCAGCTCGGCCTTCCTCCGGATGGTGATGTACCGACTGTAGTGGAACTCCTTCTCCAGCTCCAGCCGCTGGTGGTCCGTGTACACGACCCGGTATTTGTCTTTCGTCCTGGTTTTCACTGCGGAGGAAGAAAGGCAGAGCTGAGTCTTGCAAGGCAGCCCATCAGTCATGGGTAATGACAAACCTCCCTAACCCAGAGGCCGTTTCTCTGCCTTCCCACCGCTCTGGGGGGCCTGGGCTTGGCTAGTTCCTGCCAAGTCTGACAAGCGCCCCCCTCTTCCCCATTCTGGTTGGGGGGTGCGGGGGAGGGGAGTGTTGAGGACAGTAGGCTGGGGGAGGGGGGCACAATAAACTAACCTTGGGGTTAAGGGTTTTCTTTTTAACTCAAAGAGAAACCAAAACCTGACACAAAGAAGGTAGCAAAATTCTGCCATCTCTTTTGGTCATTCGGGAAGAAGTTTCCGCACCGGGGGGTGGTAGGAGGGAGTAGCCAGAGCTCACCAAAACAGGCCAGCTCCAGGCCAGCTCACCCCAAAACAGCAGAGGACTGGGCTATTATCTGCCCTGGAGCAAGCAAGGGCTGCTTTTCCATTTGTGCAAATGAGGCTGCAGGTGCTGCGAGGCAGCCAAAGCCATCACCCTGGCCCACCAGGCCCGCCCGGTGAAACTTCCCAGCTGAGAGCTGGAAGTCCCGGATGGAGGACAATGGCAGGCAGAAATCCCCTCCCGCCAGGGACGTTCTGTGCCTGCTCTGACCAGGTTTGCGACTGGGCACTTTTCCTTTTTTAAAGCCTCTCGGTATTCCTGTTTGTAAACCCCACTGGAGCTGTCCTGACCAGTGATCTTCCCTCATTGGATTGAGTCAACATATTAAATCCTGGATTGATTGTTTTACTGAAGGGCTTTGACAAATAGTATCCTCACTGCTACAGCAGTAGACCTCAACTCCGGCACTCGGCTGAGGGCTGTCCTGAGTCAGCCTTGGGCGCAAGGAGGCCAAGGCCCCAGGTCGGGGGTCTTCCAACAGCCGCACAGGTTCAGTCACTGCAGTGCCCACTCCCACAGGAAGATCTGAAGGGGCTAGCAGTCGCCTGGAGGTGTTTAATGCCCCGCAGGCCGACTTTGTTCAGGTAAAACCCTTTGCAAACCACAACAAAAGCGCCCTGGGAAGATACAGGCCGGATCAGAGGGCGCTCCCCCCGAGCCGCTGAAAGGGGAACACAGCCGCAAACAATGCAGGACAAGGCGATCTTATCAAAGAAAAGCCCTTTCAATGCCTTAATAACAACCGCATTCTGTTTGAATTACCACTACTGAGCAAATGGCGGGTCCGGCTTTCATCCCCCCCCCTCCCCGCCAGGCGCATTAACATAAACACGACCCGGCAGGCGCATTTGAATGCGCGCTGCGACCGCGACCCAGCGCCCGCCTAGCGAGTGGAAGCCCTCCTTTGCCAGACGCCCCGGGTCCTCGCTCACACGCGTGGGCTCCAAAGACCCACTCGGGGCTGCCCTTGAAACTCGCCCCGACTGGGTAGCGTGGCTCTGGGGCCCAGCTGGCTCCCAAAAGGATGTCTCCAGGGATGGGGAGCGGACGCACGCAGCCCGGCGTCCAGTAAGGATGCCTTACTTAGAGCCGCCTTTGCCCACGCGCTTTCTCCCCACCTTTAAATCACAATGACCTGGGCCAGTTTCAGACGGGTAAAGGCGAAAGCGGGACCGGGGACGCCATGCGCCCAACGGCCCCGCGCCCTGAGAGCCCCGGAGGCGCCCCGCACCCCTTGGGAACCGAGAAGGGGGCTGGACTGGGGGTGAGATGAGAGGGACTTGTCAGAATTCATTATTGACTGCGAAAGTCACCACCCTCTTTCCGGGCCTTAAAAGAGACAATGGCAGGACCGGGAAGGTGTATATCAAAGCCGGCCGGGCCGCGGACCACCCCTCCTCCCCAACTCGACCACCCTCCGCCCCGTGACAGATGACGCTGCGCAGAGAAACCGGGCTCCGGCCCTTAGGCCGCAGCCTCCCCACATTAACATCACAAGGGGCCCCGGCGCCGGCTGCGGCCTTGCCACCTCGGCGAGGGACTTCATCTGCTCTCATCCTCTCATGTGCTGACCCCGCGGCCTGGGCGGCTGCGGCCCTTTGCCCGGCCCATCCCGCCCTCCAGCCCCACCCCAGCCCCGCGGCCGCCCGCAATCCCTGCCAGACGCCAGAGGCTTTGGGAGCCAGGGTGTGCGATCGCGCCCAGATACTAAGACGAACAGGGGCGCCTCGTGTTGGAAGGGGAAAGGACCTAGTCGAGGCTCCGAGGCCCACGCGGGGCAAGGTCCACGGCCAGCAAGGCGGAGAAGGCCGCAGCTGCCACCAAAACACTCCTCAGGATGTGCGCGGCGACGCGGAAGCCGAGGCCGGAGACAGCCCCCCGCGTGCGCGCTGATTTATACTGTCGTAATTGGCTATAAACCTGAGCGAAGTGGCCATAACCTACACCCCCACGGCCTGCAGGCCTCGAGAGCTGAGCAAGGGCTGAGGGCTGGGCAAAGACTGGTGTCAAGCCGTACGACAAGATTCACCACACCGACTTCCTCGCCCTGGCTTCCGCCTTTTTTCCCCCAACACTTAGACACGTTATCCCGGGGCGAGGAGGAGCAGCCCCGTGGCCTTGGAGCCCCGCAGAACCACAAGCCCAGGGTCGTTGAGGAGACGTCCCACCAGACCTGAACACACACACACACACACACACACACACACACACACACACACACACACCAGACTCTAGGAAGGAAGGAACCTGGAGCCGACCCCCTGCCTGGAGCCGCCTAGGGCGTCACGCCCCCTGGCCCACTCGCTCAGCGATGCCACCGGAGCGCTCCAGGATGCTTTTGGTCCCGATTTTCCAGCTTTTTCCTTCACAGAGCAAAGGTTCAGAGATTGGGGCCCGCCTCCTGCACCTGGGCTCCGGCAGCGGCATCTTACTTCCAGTGGCAGCAGCTTGCTTGCCGCCGGTCTCATTCGGACAGCTGTCCCACTGACCCCTTGAACTGGCCCGAATACCTCAACCTGGTCCTGGGCTCTGCCTCAATGCTCCTCCAGCCTCCACAGTTGGGGTGGCTCAGATGGGGAAAGGAGAGCGCGAGGTACAAATGGATGGATGCAGGGAGTCCCACTACTCTGCACCCTTGGGCTGAGAGTGTTCTCTGCAGCCAGCATTGAGGGCGGATTCCACCCAGGTCCAGCCGCACACAAACCGACATTCCCCTGGCGCCTCCCGGCGCTGTCCTCGAGGTTGTGCGTGAGCAACCGTTTAGAGAAAATGGGGGCCTCTCTCGGCCCCTAAACTGAACACGGAGTGTGAGACCCACCCCGGGTGCAGTGGCCAGTCCAGTCCCGTGGAGGCGGGGGCTCCCCAGTTCCCTGTTCCGTCTCGGTCCTGCTGGCGCACGGCTTGCAAACAATCCTGGAGGCGCCGGTGCGCACCGCGGGCGCGCGGCAGCCAGGTCCGCGCCTTCCCGGGGCCCTCCTCCCGCGGCGCGCTGCCGCTCCTTACCTTGGCTTCCCAGAGACGGCTGCGCCGGCTTCCGCATCCACTCGCACAGGTTCCGCCGCTGGCCGCCGGGAGACAGCTGCTCGGCCGCAGCGGTGGCTGGGGGACCCGGAGGGCCAGGGTTGAGGGTCTGAAGCAGCCCGGAGGCACAGGAAGGCGCCGCTGCCGGGTGGTGCGGGTGGTGGTGCGGGTGGTGATGCGGGTGGTAGTCGGCGGGGCTGCTGTAGCCCATGGCGGCGGCCGGCGAGCCCCCGTTGAGGCCGTGTGCCACAGCGTTGGCGGCTGCCGCTGCGCCCCCCGGCGCGTAGCCGTTCCAGTCCTCGCGGAGCGGGGCGCCGTACGCTGCCGGCCAGGACGGCCCCGGGGACTGCGCGCTGTCCAAGTTGGCCGCCGCCGCGGCCGCGGCCGCCACGTGGTAACCGCCGTAGTCCGGGTACTGCGGGGGGCTGACGAAGTTCTGCGGCGCCAGGTTGAGGCTGCCCGAGTGGCGCACGGAGCTGGGGTACATGCTCACGTCCTTGTCCAGGAGGTAGCTCACGTACATGGTGGCGAGGGCCCGAGAGCACACCTCACCATGCTGCCTTGGAGACGGACGCTGGAGGCCGCCGCGGGTGGTGGGCGCCGAGGAGAAAGGACCAGGGAGTACGAGGAGCCGCGCCGGCTGCGCCCCGGCCTGCGGTGCTCCGCTGGCTCCGCGCGGCGCTTCTGCCTCTGCGGCGGTCCCTCCCTCTGGCGTGCCTCCTCCCTCCTTCCCTCCCTTTCTTCCTTCTTTCCTCCCACCTCCTTCCCACTAGGCTGCAGAGGCGGGGAAGACCCGCCACCGGCTGGCGTGCGGAGCCCCAGGCCGGAGACCTTACGTGATTAACGAGTGTTTACAAGACTCTATTAGTAATGACACAGACACCAATGGCTGCAGACGTCGAGGCGCTGCGCGCCCTCAGCGCGCAACCCCCAGAAACACGATTTGCATTTTAAAAGATCAAGGGGCGGGGATGGGGGGGGGGAGCCCGCGAGAGGGCCACGACCGGGTCCCAGCTAAATATTCAAACCTTTATTGTTAAGAGCTTCCTTCTTCCAACCTGGTGCACCTTTAATCTCCAATCTCAGGTTCAAAGAATGAAACCCAGAGACTTGCAAAAGACTTGGGGCGGAGGAGGGGGAGGAAGAGCTATCTTGCTGGGAATATGGGCTCCCAGGCCAGAGCAAGTCCTGTTTTTGTCTTTGCAGGCCAAGAAACTGTCCCTAAAAGAAAAAACGAAAGCTCTGGCTTTGATGACATCCGTTGCGGACAAACCAAGGAGTGGTCCTAAGAAAAAAGCCAGCAACCGCTGCCGCCCACCGCCCTGGGCGTTGAGCGCCTTCTGTCCTTGCTCAAGAAAGTCACTGTCCTTGCTCAGAAGATATTAATTATGTCCTAACTCATCTTACACTTGGCCTTGTTGTTATTAAAGCCTTTGATTCTTGGCACAGTTACATTTATTCTTGACACAGTTATGAGAATTCAAGGCTTCCAGCTATAAAACCAACAGGGTGAAGGGAGCGGAGACTGCTATGGAAGGCAGGCATTGCCAGGGAATGAGGAGGATGCGCAAGGTGTTTAGCTTCCGGAAATTCAACAAGCCCCATTTTTCTGCTGGCTTCTATTTGTCTAAGTGGTTTTGAACCACGGAGAGGAGAGCCAGGAATGTCTACAACTAGTAGCCAGGTCTCGCGTCTTTACAGCATTCCTGTGTCCCAAAGTGTTTTCTCTCCTTCACAGTCTCCCAAGATTTTTTTTTTTTTTTCATCTCAGCAGAATAGGATGGCAATTCCTAATGATTCATTATCACTGATGAAATCTACTAGGGGATAAAGACCAAGAAAGGGGATAAAGACCAAGAAAGATCCTTCTTGGTTAATTGAAGCGCTGTGGGCCGGGGTGGAGTGGGGAGGCCCAGGGTTGGAAGTGGCCACCGTGGGCACCTATCAGGGACTTCAGGAGCGCAGAAGCCGCGGGACTGGCTTCCGCACGGGTCCTGTCTTCCTGCCTCTTGTCCCAGGCAGGGTCGCTGATGACGCTGCCAGGCTCAGTCGCAGGCGCTGCGCGGGTGGACAGCACAGCCAGACTGGGTGGGCGGTGGGTGCTATGGGGGCCCGCGCTTTTGCGCGCGCACTGGCTGCTGCTCTAAAGACCCGCAGTTGCTGGTTCTCGTTGTTCAGCGCTGTCCCGGGAAACGCCATTGTCTGTGGTGTTGTGCAGTGTTACTCCCCGCGTCCTCGCGCCTCCCGGGATTGAGGACAAACCTGAGGCTGAGAACCTGCTCCTCATATATGCAACAGCTACCAGTCTGTTCGTGCCCACCTGCCCGGTGCCATCACACCAGCAGCCTTGGGCTGCGGGAATCCGTACTTTTTGAGTTATGTGAGGAAAAGGGAAATTGGGGGTGTTGGTGTGCGACAAGAGCCTAGGAGCTGTAGAAGATATTTCCCCCTCTAAACCCGCAGCAGTTAATCCTGTGCCGGGTTGCGCCAGAGCCTGACAAGAACAGTGGAGTCCTTCGGTTTCCTTAAAAATAAAGCCAGGAAGAAATGGCTGTTCCCATCACAGCATCACAGAGTCCAAACCACTGGGGGGGGGGGGGCAGGGAGCATTCTGCAGGGATGCGGGCGCTGAAGAGGTGGGCATTGAGGACTTTTGATCTAGTCAATATCTTCCTCTTCTTCCTGGAGACAAGACACCCCCCTCCCGCGGCCCCCCACCTTCCATCTCTGGAGACCACCCCCCTCCCCTTCCAGGCTGGAACTCTGGAATCCCTGGCTGATGCTACAGCCCACGTCTTCGGAATGCGGGCATTCTTGGGAACAATCGCTTTATTAGGGACAGCCATTCCCTCCACCCCATGGTGGCCACTTCCTGCCTTTATGGCCCAGGCAGCCGCTGGCTAATTGTCCCTTCTCCAGCTGTGTCTCTGTGCTCTGCCCTCCAGAAAGGGCCCTGACCTGCGAACATTGGAGGGGTGGGGGTGCCTTGAGAGTAGGCAAAGACGCTCTGGACCGCTGTGGGTCAAGCTGGGCCTGAGTCCCAGGCAGGGCACCCACCTGGGGAAAGCCCAAGCCCCCTTTGGGGTGCTTGAGTGGAGACAGGGTGGTGGAAACAAACCTGCTGTCGCCCTCCTTGCAGAGGGGAGTCTTGGTGGCGGCGGCATGGCCCTGCCTGCAGCCCCAGAGTCTGGGCTGTTTGGCGAGAAGGAAGCAATTGTCAAAGATGCTATTGGACAAGCTCCTCAGAATGGGAGTGCCAAGCTCCACCGTGTGGATTGTCCACTTGGCCAAGGAGTATGCAGCATTGTCTCCTGCCCCAAGGGGCAGAGCTGGGGTAGCAGTTAGAGAGGCGTAGATGGTGGTTTGATGGGAAAGGGGCAGACAGCCCCTCCATCCCTAGAGTTCAGGACCATTGCCCTGGGCAGGTGCAGGAGCCACCAACATCAGAGTCCCTTGTAGGATTGTCTGAGTCCTAGGCTCATGGTATTTGACAGCTATCTTTGTCTTCGGGGTTCCCAGGAAGGGGACACAGGGTGCCCATCCATGGCTCATTGCTGCTGAAGATAAGTGCATCCTCTACACTGGGTCACCAACATGCCCCCCTCCCCCAGGCCAGAAAAGCCTACAGCCAGTTGTCCTGGAGGAAGCTGGGGTTAGGCTGGGACTGCAGCTGCAAACCTATGCAGCCAGAGTTGACTTTGAAGGCCAGGAGAGGGCAGGAAGACCGAGATCCAGGTAAATACAGGAACAGGAAGACAGCAGAGAGACCAAGACCAGGCCATGCAGTTGATGTCTCTTTGTTGCTAACAGTGTAGAAGCCAGTCCACATTCCTCAGAGGGTCCAGGCTTTCAGATCCCTAAGGACAGTGGCCAAGACTGGGTCAGCGGGAGGAAGGAGAGGGGAGGGATGGGGAGCTGGCTGCTGCCGGAAGGGGCGGGGCCGCCCTGCCAGGCAGATGAGACACTCCTTAAATCCACAGATCATTGACGAAGCTCCCTCCCAGCTCAAAGGTCCCTGCCTTGTTTGCTCCAGTGAGGGGGACCCTGCTCGGCCTGATGTTTGTGGCTCCTAGAAACTGGGGAGCCTGCTGCCCTGCTTTGCCCAGATAGTACAGGTAATCTGGATCCACCTGACCATGGAAGCCAGCTTGCTCAAGACCTCTCAGATTTAGAAACATACCCAAATCCCCACTGCTGCCCTTTCACACCGCTCCAATTCCCAGGATAATTAAGGAAGGAAGCTAAGTGTGGGCTGCTGGGCTGCAGTGCCACCTCTCCTTCCTTGGCAGTTTATGGAGTCTCTGTGGCCATCTCACTACATCCACAGTCCACGGGCACAAAAAAGGAGCTTGTTAATGGATGGTTTGACCCCAACAATTCCACCTACTCTGCTGGTCGTCCACTCTACCACCATTTCTGCAAAGGAAATCGATGGCAATAGCCCCTTCTGCAACTCCCCCTGAGAGCCCACCACCTGTCCAGCCTCATTAGGCCACAATGGAACCCCACATGTTCATTAAGCAGCGCGGGAGGGGCCGCAACTACCCTGGCTCCAGGCATAGAAGTGGAAGGTCTCTCTCCAGTAGAGAGAAACCCATTACCCCCCATCTCCCAGAGCACACTGGATGGCCAGCCTTCTCTGGGGGACTAGAGCCTTGCCACTCAGGAGTCTGGGTGCAGAAGGAGGGGAAGCACATCTTTTGATTCAAAGAGAACATCTTTGTTTGTTTTTTTGTCTGTCCCAAGTATAAGAGGACATTTCACACACTTTATGAGACAGAATTGAAAGGTCAGTTTAGTTTGGTGCAAGACAATGTGACATCCATGCATGCAAGCAATCATTCAAGAGTTCACAAAAATGTAGATTATGAAAAAAATGGACATACAGATTTCAGTTTTGGGGTTTTTTTTTCCATTTGTAAAACCTAGCTTTTGATTCCATTTACGGGAACTTTTGAAGCGCACTCCTATTCTCGCAGCCAAAGCAAGGAAGTTAGAGAGTCTGAGGGGATAATCTTTGCTCACCTACAGAACACTGGCTTTGCTCAACAGATCCGCAGCTGGATGGAAGCCCCGTTTTCCTCCTTTCTTTTGAAACTAGGGCCAGCGGATACTGATTGGGGCTGTGGGAAGAAGTGCAGTTCTGGGGGGAGTGATGGACACCCACTCCTGAGAGGGGGAATCTGAGGGTCGGTGGAGGATTTCATGCCAAGGAAAGGGAAGAAGCTGGCTGACCAGCCGGCCTTCACGGCAGTCACCCTGGGGCTTGAGAGTGGAGGCCCTTCAGGCTTGTTGGGTCACCACTGTCATGTGCATCTGAAAACCTTTGTTTAGTCGTATGAAAATGTGTTCCTAGGAAACCCCCGGCGGCTACATTGGATGTGCCTAGTGAGAACAGGTGTCCAACCTGCCTGGACCTGTGGGCTAGCTGCCTTGCTAGAGAGACCTGAATCTCAGAGGCCATTTACAAAGGCCCAGAGAGGCTAGGTAAATTTCCCAAGGCCACACAGCGAGCTCTCCAAGTCCCTGTTATACGCACCTTCTTTGCAACTCACAGAGCACCTGGTGGCGATGTTAATTATTACTGAGGCTGCCGGTGCAACCCTGGAAACAAAAACCCAACACGAAACTGTGGAGCGTGATTCAGGGAATCTGAACTCCTTGGCCCCGGGGCTCCTCCTTGGAACAACTTGAGAACCACCCGGTTCCGCAAAGCAGCACATTGTGGCAACTTTTCACTTCCTATTTTGTTCTTTGAATGGCGAATTTTCCCTAAGCCCCATCCCATCCAAGAGCCTTCTCTCCAGTCTCCGGGCAGCCAAGGCACCCGTCGGCATTTGTTTCCAACCACCAGTGTTTCTGAAAACAGCGGTTCTCTCCTTTGTCGTGGCCAGAATCCACACACTAACTGGTGTCTGCACAGATAGCCAAGTGGAATGGTGAGGGCCACCAACGATGGGGGCAGCTGGTCCCCCTGCTCGCCTTCCTTATCCAGTCAGGGGACACCTTTTGGGCACATGGGCCCCTGCAGCCTTCCTTTCTGAGGAAATTAAAAGGAAAGCCCACTCTGTCCCCAGTTCTTCAGGTTTGGGCATTTCAAAAGGGCCAGCAAGAATGGACTGTCCCCAAACAGACCTTGATTCAGCTCCTTCCCTTCCAGCCACCAGAGTTGTTTTTGTGCTTTGTATGTTTGTGTTTATTTTTAAACGAATTCGTAAGGAAGGTATTAATTGTTCACATGCACACACGCACACACCCAACCGCTTCTGCGGCCCCGGGCGGCCCCGGAAGCGCATCTGCCGGCGACCCTCTGCTCCCCGGCTGGTGGGCGCTCCAAGTCCGTGGCTGCGCCGGCTCGCCTCACCTCCACCCCGCCCCGGGGGTTGGTATCCCGCATCCTGCGCACCAGGACGGGAAGCAGAACGCGGCCCCGCCACACCGAGGCCGGCAGAAGTTCTGGTCGCATCTCTGTTTAGGCCAAGACTTGGCCGGAGAAGACTGCCCAAGTGACCTCGGCTGTCGCCGGTGACTGCCCAGGTGCGGAAAAGCCTCCGCCTCCCGGCTGCTGCTCGAGTCAGTCCTTCCAGCCGTGCGCCCACGTCCCGCTTCTCACGCTCGCCCAGGCGGCTGCCACTCTCTCTGTGTCTTGAGCAAGAGCCTTCCGAAGCCAGCTCTCCTTCCCCCTACACCTGCTTCAAAAGCGGTGGATCCAGCGTCTGCCCGCGCCGAGACCCACCTCTTCCTGCAGGAATCAACAATTTCCCGGACATGCTCTGGGCTGTCGAAGCGTCCCAGTTGTATAACCCGGGACAACCTGGGTCGGGTCTCCAAAGTCTGGAGCTCACCTGCTCTCGGGCTGGCCGGGGCCGGGGGTGTTCGGTACTTTTCACGCTGAACACCCTTGAAAAGAGCCCGTACGGCTGTGTTTGCGGGCTCCCGCCTGCCCTGAGGATGGAGTGTCACTAGGAGTCTTTAGGCCCAGCGGAGCAGCAGGTACTGCAGTATCCCAAGTTGACTGGCTAGAGAGACACTGGCACCCAGCCTCAGGTCTCAGGGGCCCATCTTTACCGCAGGGGCCCAGGGGGTCAGGAACTGAGCCACCAAACTCCAACCCTAGGAGCTCCTAACTCCCAGAGGAGGCGTCTGGCTCTGCGGACCCTGGTGGTAGCCTGCGATCCTAGCACCTGCCCCCATGCCCCCGGCACTGGCTTCTGCCTTTCCCCTTCCTGCAGCTCTGGGGACCCCAAGTGGGATCCGTAGTGCTTTCCTTCTGGAGGAGGGGGGACACTAGCCACCCGCACCGAGGAAGCGGTCTCTGCCTGGGCTTCCCTCTGCTTTCCCACTTCGGGCAAGGCTGCTGGCCCCGGGAGGGAAGGCCCGGCCTACCACCTCTGCTCGCCTTGGACACTCGGTCCTTCCTCTGCCGCTGGAAGCCTGAGTGGTGTCCATTGGGGCCCTCCACACCAAAACCGATGAGCCAGGCGGGGGTGGGGTGGGGGGGAGTGTCTATGAGAGGTGCCCAAAAATCAGTGCCAGCGTGCACGGGCCAGATTTCTAAGGCATCCATTTCCCCCCATTTCAACAGGGCCCCACCTTCACCCCAGGGTTCACACCCACAGCACTGGTCCACGCATTGTCCTGGCCAGGGGACGGCCTGGCTTTCGCCTCTGGCCAGGACACCACCCCCGCCCGTGTCCTCCCTCGGGGCACCTCCCTGACTCTGGGTGAACGCGGGGCGCGCGGGGGTCAGCGCCGTTCCCCCCATCCCCGGCCCCAGCGCCCGCACTTCGCTGTCCCAGCTCGCCAGCTGTCAGCTGTGCCGCCGGAGCCAGGAAGCCGCTTCCGTGCACGTGGAAGTATCGGGTGCTGCAAATGAGGTGGGAGAAGAAAAAACAAACAGACAGACCGCTGTGGAACACAAGATTCCTGTTTTTCCCCCGTCTGTTTTGCTTTGCGCTTGAGGAGCCGACCCGAGGTGGCCGAGCGCGCTGGATCCACAAAGGCCACACCGAACCAGGCGGGAAGGATTGAAGCAGTGGGCTGGAGGAATCGGGACAGAGCACGCGGCACTGGCTAGTTAGGCAAGCGTGCACGTCCGGGTACGGGAGCGGATGGACAACGGGGGTTCATTACTCGTGGGACCGCCTCAATCCTTCACTTGGTCCGGGCGCGTGGGTGGTCGCCCAATCGGCCTCTGGCTTAGCGCTCAACCCATCGCGTGCGTCCAGGAGCCCCGGGGCTGCGAGCGTGCGAGCGCGACAGCTACAGCTTGGCAGGGTCGGCACCCAGGAGGTCGGCGAGGCGCAGGTGGCCGATCTTCTTCACCTCCTCCAGGGCTGTGCGCAGTTCCAGCTCGGGCGGGCACAGCAGGCGACGCGCCAGCTCGCGTGGCACGGCCGCCCGGTCGCTCAGGCGCGCGGCGAGCACGAAGGGGAAACCGAAGCGCGCCCGGTACTGTGCGTTGAGCTCGGTCAGCCGGAGCCGCTCGGCCGCGCCCAGGCTCGTCAGCCCCGCTCCGCTCTGCTCCCGCTGCGACTCAGCCGTGAGCGTCCCCCGTTGCAGCTCGCGGCCCGCCAGATCCGGGTGGCAACGGAGGACACCCTCCTTGCCTGTGGAGAAGCACAGACAGAACCGCCGCGAGGGCGCGTCACCCAGCTGCGATCCGGGGAGGGCACCCGGCGCTGCGGGCTGCCCTCTCCCCGGGGACCCGGCCCGCAGGCCGGGCCTGCCCCCCTTCCCCGCCCCGCTGGAGCCGCAAACGATCCCCGGGTGGCGATGTCGTGGCTGCGCAGCCTCTTCATCGCGCCCCCGACCTGGCGCCTCTCCGGGTCCCCGCTACCTTCGGTCCCATCCAGGGGGAGGGGGCGGAGCGGGAAGTGAGCGGCTTGTGTTCGTGGGTAGGAGAGCGGAGGGGGCGAGAGGGCGGCCGCCTGGGCTCGGAATTTACGACTTGCTCGGGAGGGAGCGGGGACGTGATAAGGAGCCCGCGCGTTTCGTATCTTCTCAAAGTCCTTTGCTCTCAGGGGGGCTTTGATGTCGGAAGGGGCCGGACGCAAAGGGCTTGAAGACTTCCTGCCAAAGTCCTGGAATGGTGTTTGGTTCTGCTCGAGGGGAGAGCGCAGAGGGGCGGGGTGGGTCCCAGGGACTTGGCAAATAAATGCCCAGGACTGTGTGAGCGCTGGGTCTTAGGAATTACACTGCCCAGCACCTAGCTGATGAATACTGGCAAGGCACCCAGGGCCAGCCGAAGCCCGCAATCCCTGGCGTTCAGCTGGGGTCTCTCTTTTCAAGAAAAACTTGCCCACCCCCACCGTCCACCGTACCAGCATCCACCCTGCCCGCAGTGGGAGGAGGGCTTTTTCCTTCCTCTGGCTCAGGGACCCCCGCCCCAAGCGCCTCAAGGGGCCAGCAGAGGAACCGTTTTCTTGGAAGAAAGCTTCTGCTAGTCCACCCATGACCCTGGCAAGCCTTGGTGGGTGGCCTGAGCTGTTGACCCTAACGCAGGCGGTGCCCAGATCCAAGCCCGCTGGCCAGTCACCTAGATCAGCTCTCCAAAGACAGAGGCAGCACCTAGGCTCCAGGCAAAATTTCGGATCTGGTGCACCGGGGATCAGAGTGATGGCATAGAAGCTAATGCTTGACGCGTGGCACTGTCATCCCATCTGGGTGCTGCTTCACTTCCCGCCCAGCTCCCTGCTTATGGCCTGGGAAAGCAGTCGAGGATGGCTCAAAGCCTTTGGACCCTTCACCGGCATGGGAGATGCAAAACAAGCTCCTGGCTCCTGGCTTCATATCTGCTCAGCCTTGACCCTTGCAGCCATTTGGGGAGTGAACCTCTGGATGGAAGATCTCTCTGCCTCTTCTTCTCTCTGTAAAATTTTCAAGTAAAATAGATAAATCTTTGAAAAGAAAATTGATCTGATGGGCCCGACACGGTGGCCTGGCAGCTAAAATCCTTGTCTTGAACATGCCTAGCACCCGTGTGGGAGACCTGGAAGAACCTCCTGGCTCCTGGCTTCTGATCAGCAAGCTCCGGCTGTTGGGATCACTTGGGGAGTGAATCATAGGATGGAAGATCTTCCTCTCTGTCTCTCCTCCCCTCTATATATCTCACTTTGCAATTTAAAAAAATCTTTAAAACAAAATGTAGGCAGAGAACATGGTTCCATACCATGAGGACCCTGACAGCTATCTTGCTAAGCAGTGGTGACGTTTGGAGATAGAACTGGTGGAGACTAACTACCCTGATACTTATTAGACCACTTAGCCTGGAGGGCCTAGGCTGAGGCCCAGCAAGGCCCCACACTTCGTGCAGCAACAAGGTTCTTGGCTGCCTCTGGCTGGGCAGGCTGGCTGGGAAGAGGAGCACTGAAAACACCCTTTTTTATGGTACAGTAAATTCCCTGTGCTTCCAGGAAAGTCCCCCCTTCCTCATATTTGAGACTGCTTGGGATGGTGACATAGCTAGTGGATAGATGTCCTGAGAAGGGACAGTTGGAGGTCACCTCTGATGGTGCAAGATTAGAAACAGCTAGATGACCCGCCTGAGGCTGCTCAGCTGACTGCGTCTCCGAGTCCTGGACCCTCGGAGGACACCATGGCCCCTTGCAAGATTAAGGGTGTTCAGAAAGAAGCCATTGTCACCAACTATCCTCTTTAATATCACACAGGCACAATCAGCAGGGGCGTTCCCCCCAACACACACCTCTGCTACCAGCCCTGTCCAGCTGCTGCGGACTCAAGTTGTCCCTTGGAGCAAGGGCCCAGCCCTGGGCCAGGCTCCTGGAAGCACCTCCCTGAGGGGAAACTCAGGCTCAGGACAGACACCGAGCCCTGCCCAGCAGACCGCTCTGCACCCACACAGCCACGCCCTGCTAGTGAGCTCTGTGGGTTGACTGCACCCTCACAGTTACACATTCAGAATAGCTTCTGTCCCCTGGGGGCAAGGGGCTCCTTCTCCCCCTATCTCTTCCTCTCTAATGAACCAGCCTAAGCTTGGGGTGGGAGGTGGTGAATGATGGGGTCCTTGCCATCCCTACACCTGCCAGCATCAGAGAACCTCCAAGCACAGGGTGTGTGTGTGTGTGTGTGTGTGTGTGTGTGTGTGTGTGTGTGTGTGCTGGGGAGGTGGCAATGGCAGCTCTGTGCATGCCAGGCCTTCCCTGCTCCCACCACCCCTCCACCCCCCACCCTTCCTTCCTTTGCCACCTCATTTCCCACTTTGCAGCATTTAGCTCCCCTTAGAAACCTAGCCCTACAGGGTTAGTGTTTGCCTGCCCGGCAGGTAGCACAGGAAGAAGAGGAAAAAAGGGATGGACCATGGGGTTGAAGAAAAAAAAAATAAGAAGACCTGGACTTTACACACACACACACACACACACACACACACACACACACACACACATGCAGGTAACAAGAAAGGATGTTCTGAGATGAGGAGACAGGGGAGAGGAAGTGGCTGGTTGCTCAGAAGGACCAAAATCTGACCTCCTTGACCAAAAACACCATCACCATTGCCCTGAGCCACTGTAATAGTGATTCCGGGATCCAGGTCCCCCTCCACCCAGTATGCCGAAGCCACTCCCAGCTGTGGCCATGAACCCCAGCAGGAGGCTGGAGACTGTGGGCTGGGTGCTGTCCTCTGTTCTAAGAGCTCCAGTCTGCAAACTTGAGATGCTCAAGTGAGGACCAGAATGCTGCAGCGCTGCTGGGACTGTGTGTTGTGTCGTGCTTGGGTTGTGTCATTGGCACATCACACCAGGAACATGGGTGTGGCCAGGAGTTATTTGCTGGGACACAGGACAGGGATCCTGGCACAGAATCCATGTACTTGGCACTCTGGCACTGCTTTCACAGGAGAACAGGTGAACAGGACCACAGTGGTGGCCTCGGTGGAACAGATGCCCAGAACTGCCTGCCAGGGCATCTGGCACCCACAGACACGGCCACAGCCGGTCCCGTCTACAGAAGATCAACCTTTCCATTTGAAGCTGGCTTCTTGAAGGTTTTGCTTCCATAGTTTCAAACATCCATGTCTCCACCCCTTCTCGTCCTTATCCACATGCAAACGTGGATTAGAAGAACTCATCATAGACACTCTTTCCCCATTGCCTCCAGCCTCCCAGCCCCTCACTCCTCTTCCCCCCTCCCCAGGCTCTGTCTAGGAAGCATTAGGCCCCACCTGCCAGCCAGCCAACCCGCTCTCTCCCAAATCACCAATGGCCAGCTTCTTGCCTGGGTGAGCCATGCCCTGTTCCCTCTCTCCTGTTGACAGATTCTCATCACTGGCTTTGGCAGACACGTGGACTCCAATGTGGAGAGGCACTTCCCTGTGTTCTTTTTAAAAATTATTCTTAATTTTGAATTTTATGATACAATTCTGTTGAGTCTGGGATCTCCTCCCCCCCCCCAGTTTCCACCCTCTGACTGATTTGCCCCATCTCGTTATAATGGTACAGTCCTTCATACGGAGCCCCTTGCGTCTTATGATTAATTCCCCCTTGTTTTAGAGACGTTTCTACGACCAAACCCGCTGAATACAAACCCTGCTCTGAGAACTGGTTCCATCCGTTGTTCCAGCATAGTGCCCGCTCCTCCCTCCCTCACTCTCACTGCTTGCAGCAAGCCCTCTGCCTACCCTGCCTGCAAGGCACTTGGGTGTCTCTGTTCCCCCAACATGTTGTTTCTTCTAGGCTATTCTCTTAGAGTACATCCTCAGATCCTGGGTCTTAGCAGCTCTCTTCTCATCTTCTATGTCTTGTGTTTTTTTGTTTTGTTTTGTTTCTTAATTTGAAAGGAGAGATTGTCTCTCTGCTGATTTACCCTTCAGATGCTCACAGCAGCTGGGACTGGGTGAAGCAGGAGTGCAGGATTCAGTGGACGTCTCACCCACAGGCATGGCAGGGGCCCAGGCACTGGTGGCATCCCCTGCTGTGTCTCGGGTGTGCAGTGGCAGGAGGTGAAGCTGCTGCACAGGCACTCCAGCACAGAATCCAGACCTCCAAGCAGGATCTTCACACTTGCCCACCCAACTGCCTTCAGCTCCAAATCTGAATTCCATAAAACTCCTCCTTAGGAGCCAGCATTGTGGCATAGTGGGAAACGACTGCCTATGACACTGGATCTCAAGAGTACAAACTATGTACCAGTTGTTCCACTTCTGATCAGGCTGCCCGTTAATGGCTGGGGGAAAGCAGGGTGGTGTTGGAGCCCATGCACCCATGGGGGAGAGCCAGACGAAGCTCCTGGCTCGCGGTTTGATTAGCTTAGCCCCAGTTCTTGAGTTGTCTGAGTGAATGGAAGATCTTTCTGTGTCTCTGTAGCTCTTCCATTTAAGTAAGTAAGTACACTTTAAAAATATTTATTTATTTTTATTGGAAAGTCAGATTTACAGAGAGAAGGAGAGACAGAGGGGAAGGTCTTCAGTGCACTGATTCACTCCCCAAGTGGCAGCAACAGCTGGAACAGAGCTGATTGGAAGCCAGGAGCCTGGAGCTTTTTTTAGGTCTCCCATGCAGGCGCAGGGTCCCAAGGCTTTGGGCCATCCTCTACTGCTTTCCCAGGCCACAAGCAGGGAGCTGGATGGGAGACGGAGCAGTTGGAACATGAACTGGTGCCCATATGGGATCTCAGCACATGCAAGGCAAGGACTTTGGCCACTAGGCTCAAATAAATGCCTTTTTAAGAAGACATATTTTGTTACTATTTTCTGCAATATTGTGTATATATTTTCAAATAATTCCTAGAATTCAAAATCATTGTATTTCCTTATGGCCTTTTTGTTTTTTGAAAAAATAAAGTAAGGTGTTTATGTTTTTGTTTTGTTTTGAAGATCTTATTTATTTATAAGGCAGGGTATCGGGCATATATGGGTGGGAAGTGGAGCAGCCTACACTTGGCCCCGAGGCCACATGGGATGGTCCTTGAAGGTGGAAGCTGCTCAGGTCTCAGTGCCCAAGGTGACGCCCAGTGGGGGTTCAGCCACCAGCTGGTGTCCCCAAGGACAGTGCTACGCAGTTGGAAGGGGAGGAACCAATAAGCACATTTTAATGGCTTAATATTAAGAATACATATTAATGGGAATTATTTGCTTTCAAGTCTTTCAAGCTCAATAAATACCTTCTCTAGTGACTGTTGAATAAGAAATTACGGTGTGACTGCTATTGTGATGTCACAAAGATGCATATAAAATATTCCAGTGAACATTTAATAGCTCCTGACTTTCAATGTAATGAGTTTAAATCAGTCCTGAACTGCTCAAGGGGTGTGTGTGCATGTGTGCCTGTGTGCCTGTGCGTGTGAGCGTGCACGTGTGTGTCTGTGTGAGTGTGTGTGTGCGCTGTGCCTGTGTGTGTGAGCGTGTGTGTGCCTGTGTGTGTGAGCGTGCATGTGTGTGTGCCTGTGTGTGTGAGCGTGGGTGTGTGTGCCTGTGTGTGTGTGAGCGTGCACATGTGTGTCTGTGTGAGCGCGTGTGTGTGTGCCTGTGTGTGCCTGTGTGTGTGAACGTGGGTGTGTGAGCGCGTGTGTGTGTGTGAGCCTGTGTGTGCCTGTGTGTGAGCATGGGTGTGTGTGTGCCTGTGTGTGTGAGCCTGTGTGTGTGTGCCTGTGTGTGTGAACGTGGGTGTGTGAGCCTGTGTGTGTGAGCGCGCACGTGTGTGTGTGCCTGTGTGTGTGAGCGCGTGTGTGTGTGCCTGTGTGTGCCTCTGTGTGTGTCTTCTTACTTCTCTTACTGCCCTTCCTCTTGTCCAGAAACCTTTCCCTCTTTGATCCCTGGGAGCTGATTGGCTAGAGAGAGCACCTTGCAGGCGAGCGCTGGGCCCAATAGTAATCCTGGACTGCCACCTACTGGCCAAACCTCACTATAACAAGACCTAAATGGATTCGTTCTTGGCTTTTGCCCGCACAGGGATCTTCACCTTTCTGTTAGCGGACTTTGCCTTGTCACCTGAGGCGAATCCTGGGCAAGAGCAAGCACGCCAACTAGCGTCTCTCCCTGGGGCCCCTTCCAGTTTCTGAAGTCAAAGTCTCGCTTGTATTTGATTTTATTGGCTAATAAGATGATGTACATTACAATGTATAGCTTGATGTTTTGACATATATATAGGTAAATGTATGTACACATAACGAAATGATGAAATCATATTTTATCATATACATCACCCCACATGTCATGAGGGTGGGGGGAAATTCTGTTGAGCTAAACTGCAATACCACCTAGAGAAGGCAAGATCCAGGAGCGGGAGTGGGTTCATTAGGGAAACAGTGGGCTCCTCCCTCTTGGGTTGCCACTCTGACTGGTAAGCATGAGAACCAGGACTGGGACAGGCATGACTACACAGAAAGTGGCACCCATGAGCACATGTGTGGTCCGGATAGTGGAGACGGTTGGGTTGAACTAGGCTTCAACGCCCATTGACATATATAAAAGCTGAATGGGATGTGGGACAGACAGAACCAGTCTGCTGTACATGCTGGCAACATGGGAACCAGGACAGGGGGTGGGCCTGGTGGGTGTTATTGCGGTCGCTCCAACTAGGCTGCAGCTCCCACTGTTTTGCGTGGGGCCAAATGTGCGGTGGGCAGGATCAGGCTAGACTGCAACGCCCATTAGCTTGCATAGAAGACAGGACTGGGGACAACTGACGCAGCAATTGCAACTAACAGTGTGCACGAAGGCCAATTTGGGTGACAGACTGCTGGACCCTGTGCTGGCATGCACACACAAGAATCAGGGATCACTTCAGATGAAGTTTCTTTGGGACTCCCCCTAACTGAACCACTGGACTCAGAACTCCAACCATGGAGGTGATTACAGGTTCCATGGTCTGGCTGTGGAGTGCATGTGTCAGAGCTGGGCATCCTCAAAGGTTTAGACGGAGTGGTGGACAGCATATCCAGATACACATGGGGGATATGGCAATATGTTGGAACCTGCAGGGGACACCTGGTACCATGATGGAGGATGGAGGACAGAACAAATTGATTAACTACCCCAGCCTAGTCTTGGTAGTGAATGTCTGGGCAAACAGAGGCTCTAAGTTGGACTACGTCAGCCGGTGGAGTCTGGAGAGATTTCATCATGATTAGAGTAGCAAGATTGGCAGCAAAATAGAACTGTTGAACTAGCAAAACCACTTAAGCAGGACCCTCGGAGCATGCCCCACATCGGGGACCCTGGCATGGTTGGGAGGCTGGGTGGGGCTTCTCCCCGTATCTCTCCCCTCCTCCCAAATACATGAAGGAAAGAAGAGAATGTGGAAGCAATGGTCTCACCCACTTTCCTTTAGCCTTTGACCCTTAGCATTGTAATCAAATATGTAACATTTTCAAAAAATAAAATTTATATAATTAAAAAATACTTATTATTATTTTTTTTTACAGAAAGAAGGAGAGACAGAAAGTAAGATCTTCTATCCACTGGTTTACTCCCCAGGCATTTACTACCCGAGTGGTGCAACAACCAGAGCTGAGTCAATCCAAAACCAGCAGCCTCCTCCATGTCTCCCACATGGGTACAGGGTCCTAAGGCATTGGGCCGTCCTCGACTGCTCTCCCAGGCCACAAGCAGGGAGCTGGATGGGAAATGGGGCTGCTGGGACACAAACCAGCACCCCCATGGGATCTTGGCACATGCAAGGCGAGGATTTAGCCACTAGCCTACCACACAGGCCCAACATCACCCATCTTAAAGCCATGACACTATCTGATACAGGATACCCATCCAGACAGCACTGAGGCCCCGCTTCCAGCTGCCTCTCAGGTGAGCCTGGGCCCAGGGGCCCGGCTGCTCCAGCAGGAATAGCCCTTCCTCCCACTTCAACGGTCCGTGTCTTGTGCAGGACCGTTCAGCTGGCCCTGCTTCCTGCCGTCTCATTCCCCCACCAGTCACACATTGCTGTGGGGCCAGCAATGTCACCAGGGTCTATCATTTTCCAAGATCCCCTGGGGAACAGTTCCATTCGTTCATCCACTCATTCAGCAAACCTTGTTGAAGCCCCAGTACGCTTTTTACTGGACGCACCCCCACCCCAGATGCAGACACTGGCTTGAGTGCCGAGGGGCACCTGTACTCCAGAGGGGTTGGGGGAGGACCCTGCCATGGCCCCTCTCCTACCAGGACTGGCTCTACCCCTCACTGTGAACCTCTGATCCAACGGGCAAGTGCTAGGGAGATAGAGAAAGGTCGATTTCATTATGTGAGGCCTAAGCATACTGTAGGAGACCTCAAGGAGCCAGCCAAGGAAGGACACATGCCTGGCTTGCTCCATCACTCCTGTCCACCCCACGGAGCCTGGGAGTATGAAGACACATCCCAGGATTCTCCTCCCACGACCTGCAGACCTGGATTTGGCCTGCTCTTTCCCAATTTGGGAAGAAGCAGTAGGAGAAAGAGAAACAGAAGCAGAATTCCTATCTGCAGTCTCGCACCTCCACATCAGCCCAGGTGGACAGTTTAGTGGTCACTGCTATGGAAGGCAAGGACCATGCACCTGCTATCCCCTAGGGAGCACAACAGGAAGCTGGAATCAGAAACAGGACGTGAACCCAGGCACTCTGAGTGGGACACGGGCATTCACCGGGTCAGACGCCTGAGCCTTTCCATTGGCTACGGCGGCTAGGATGTCACCCTTTGCTCTCCCCTAGCCTGACCTCAGACAAGCTAAAGATGGACCCTCTTTTGGAGATCCCTGTGTGTCCACCTCCAGCCTTGCAGGTGGTTCTCCTTGAGCAGTCACCAGCAGGTGCTGCCAGGAACCCCAACAAGAGGACAGAACACACCCGGTGTCGCTGTTAGGCCACCTCAGGCTCCCCTAGAGGGAAAGGCCTGGACTGCTGACCCTTGGCCGGCCTTGCTGTGGCCCAGAGTCGGGCGTGTCCTTCCGGGTCCCCTGGGTCATCTCAGGCCTGCAGCTCCCTGTCCCACCCAGGAGGGCCTGTGCCATTCCCAGTTGCTTTTCCTGGAAGCAACCCACAGCCTCTCTCCTCTCCCAGCCCAAGTGCCTCTCTCTGCCCTGCCCCAGGCACTTGCTGACTTGTGCAGTCCAGCCCCAACTGGCCACACCTGGGGAAAATGGCAGCTGTGCACTCCTCGCCCTGGGCGTCTGAGATCTGCTGACAGGCAGCTGCCTGCCGGCTGGCCCGCACAAAGGCGATGGCAGGAGCGCTGGGTGGCTCGGGGCTGCACCCTGGAGCTGACCTTTGTTCCACAGATCTTGGTGTGGCCTTTAACCCCATTCCTCCCTCTGGGCTCACTGCTCGGCTCTCATAGTGGACATGGCCAACATGCCTTCTCCACAGGCAGTCTTGGCCCTGACCCCTTGCCAGGGCTCAGCACCTCCAGGGTGCTAACGGACCCTTCCTCTCCAAGCAGCGATGTAAACAGCGTCTGAACAGCTAGCCCAAGAGGCCCAGAAGCATTTTTTCTAAGGCAGACTATGGCCCCCGGGTCCGCCCGCCAAGCCGTACCTGACTGTGGCAGGGCATCGATGAAGGCGAAAAACTGCCGCTCTAGATCTGCTGGGTCAGAGAACGGGCGCTGGGACCAGACGGCGGCGGCCACCAGAGGGCATCGCTCAACGACATTGCCAAACACCTCCACGAATTCTCCAAAATCCATGGAGTTGACCGTCTCCATGTCCATGACTCCGGTGTCCCCCCAGAGGCAGCGCGGTGTCTGGCTCGCTTTTGGAAAGTGGCTAACGCCGGCTCTGTACGCTGAGTTAGGTTTGCTGAATGCACAAGCCAGCTTTTATGCAACATAGCATGTGGGAGACACAAAGCCAGCGCGCTTGTGTAATGAACAAACACAGGCTTAGGTTCCAGTCCAGGGAGCAGAGATCTCCCCGTGCAGCGCCAGCCACCCCTACAGGTCAAGATGTGGCCAGCTTGCACTCGTAGCATTTACACCTTCGGTGTCATTGGCATTTAAAAAATGTAATTCATTGAAATACAGTGAGAAAGAGAGAGGTTTTCCCTCTGCTGGCTTACTTCCCAAATGGCCAGGTCAAAATCAGGAGCCAGGAACGGGAAATCCATCTGCGTGGCCCACGTGGATGTAGGGACTCAAGCACCTGAGGATCTTCCACTGATTTCCCAGACCCTTAACAGGAAGTTGGACCGGAAGTGGAGCAGCAAGGACTCAAACCAGGGCTCAAATGGGATGCCAGCGTTGCCTGCAGAGGCTTAGCTTGATGCCAACCCCTGACATCTTCATGTCATCGCCATCCCACAGCAGAGTTCCTTGATAGTTCAGACAGGCACCCATCAACTCCATGTAGCACAGAGCTTTTGTCCTAATGCTACAGGCCAGCATCTGTCCAGCGACACACCTGAGCCATCTGAGCAAGACCAAGACCTCAGCCCTTACAGAGAAGTCGATGGACTTGTCCTTGCCAAGAGGGCGCATCACTACAGATGAGGCACTCAAATAAAGAGATCACACACACACACACACACACACACACACACACGCCACTTGATCCAGCGTTGTCTTTAAGTACAAGGCGCTGTGAACAACAGGGAATATACTACAAAGCCAGCCCTAAACAGTAGGATAAGTTTATGGGGGGGGGGGGGAAGCAATGCACAAAGGAAAAGCTAGTAAATCCAGGTGTTCTAGCATTACTAGCTTTCTCTTCCAATGCGATGGAAGGAAGGGTTTATATTTATACAGTCCCTGGGCCCAGCACAATAGCCTAGTGGCTAACATCCTCATCTTGCATACACTGGGATCCCACGTGGGTGCTGGTTCATGTTCTAGCTGTTCCACTTCCCATCCAACTCCCTGCTCGTGATCTGAGAAAGCAATAGAGGACGGCCCAAAGCCTTGGGACCCTGCACCTTTGTGGGAGACCTGGAGGAAGCTCCTGGCTTCGGATCGGCTCAGCTCTGGCCGTTGCGGTCACTTAGGGAGTGAACCAGCGGATGGAAGATCTTTGTCTCTCCTCTCTGTATATCTGCCTTCCCAATTTAAAAAAAAAAAAAGGTATATTTATACAGTGCCCAAGCTACGATGGTTCAACGTGACATGGGTGAGAATGTCAGCACACATCTCTCACGGGGGGCTGAGCCTGGATCCTGCCCAGTCTGAGCCTCTTTAGGATGCGGGGCAGGGGGCAGCCACTGCAGCTGCAGCTCCCAGGCAGCCCTGTGGCCACCGGGTGGCAGCCAGCACTAGGCGGAGCGTGCTCCTGATAGAGCTGTGTGACGGAGGTTGGATGCCAGGCATGCATTTGCCACTTTCCATGTTTTCCACCTCTGATGGGTTGATTGGGGCTGAAGCCTCCTTGCCAGTCAAGGCCTCTGCATGTCCCACAGCCGCGTGCACGTGAACAGAGGGACTTGTGCAGCTCCCCGCAGGGCAGCACAGTGTGGTACCTGCGATCGGCTCCGCACAGGAAACGCGAGCATTTTCAGGCGCTAGGTCTTCCCACCCTTTCTGTGTTTGCTGATGGTGACGGCGGTGCAGACGCAGCAAATATTAATTTTGCGTGCAGCTAAACAGGTTACTGAGGAAGTCCTGTACGAAATCCGAGGCGAGAGAAAGAGGAGACAGGCCCAGGGTGGGGCCCCTGTGGCTGCGACGGGGAACGGAACTGCCAGAAGAGCTGGCCCCGAGTCCAGCCAAGCGCCCCGCACGCTCCTGGGAGAGGAGGCTCATCCTGCTTCACTATGGAGCCAGTGCAGGGCCCAGCCTCCCTGAGCATGGCAGGTGCTCCACTACACAGAAGAGGGTGGGCAAAGCCGGGGCCTCCACAAGAGTGTGGAGAGGCTGCCCGGCTAGTGCTGGCAGCGTGGCAAGTCGTGGACACGCGGCGTGGTGGAGAAACAGCCTTACTTGTGTGGAGGGCTGCTTTTCCGTCGGCCCACCGTTCTGCTTGATTACAGATGCGGGGTTGTTAAGGGTTTAGCTGCCATTTGGCAAGCTGGCAACTCAGAGTCCTGCTTCTGGTCCAGCTTCCTGCTGAGACGTCTGGGAAACAGCAAAAGAAGGTCCAAATGCTTGAGTCCCTGCCAATCACCAGGTGACCGGGATGGAGCTCCTGTCTCCCGGCTTTGCCCTAAGCCCAGGTGAACCAGTGAATGAAAGATATTCTGTCTCTCTCGGCCTTTTTTGCACACTCTGCCTTCCAAATAAATAAACCTGTAAGAAGTGTCCTGGCTTTGAGTAGGGCAAGGGTGTGGTACAAACCCAGAGCTGGCTGCCAGGATGGACTTAAAAGGCACAGTACTAGGGCGCCACCTACTGGCACGAGTGTTGCATAGGCCTGGTGGCGGGAGCTGCCCAGCTAAACGGGAAACTCGAATCCGGGCTTGTAGAATGTGATTTTACAAGGCAGAACACCAATGATCACAGGGACACGCCTTGACCCAAACTAAAACCAAATCCTGGGCAAAAGTAAGGCCATAGTAACTTAATTTCTCTCAAGCGCTGCCTTAATAACTGTCAGTGTCCAGAGATTGTTACATGTTAAATGTCCCGTTTTGGCATCTTTTGAAGGTGTAGCATACAACCGATGAACTAACAGGCTCTGACCCGCAGTGTTGTTATCACAAAGTGTGAATTGGTCCTCAGTGGCCAGAGAAGCACGTTGTCACCCCAGTAGGATCTTTAAAACACGAAATACCAGGGACAGCACTGTGGCACAATTGGTTAAGCCTCCTCCTGCAGTGCTGGCTTCCCATATGGACGCAGTTTGAGTCCTGGTTGCTGTCAGTGGCCTAGCAAGGCAGAGGAGAATGGCAAGGCCTTGGGCCCCTGCAGCCACATAGGAAACCCGGAAGAAGTCCCTGGCTCCTGGCTTAAGATGGGTCAGCTCTGGCCATTGCAGTCATTTGGGGAATGAACCAGTGGATGGGAGACCGCTCTCTTTTCTCTACTCCCCACTCTCTGTGAATATGACTTTTTGTAAAAATAAACAATTCTTTTAAAAAATATGCTATGTATATTATATATACCCTATAATATATATAATATAGAGGTTGTATATATACAAATACATATATTATGTATTTGTTTATTTTATATGTGTGTGTGTGTATTTGGCCAAGTGGTTAAGGTGCTGGCTAAATGCCTGTGCCCCACCCGCAGGGCTTGGGTTTGGTGCCCACTCCTGTCTTCTTACTCCACCTCTGGATCAAGCCGACGCTGGGAGGCAGTGGTGACGGTCCAGCGACATGAGTCTCTGCCAATGGAGATCTGAATGCAGTTCCCGGGCTCTGGCTTTAGTAGCCTTCGTTGTGAAAAAAAAGAAAAATGGGATGTGAACCAGCAAATGGAAACTCCCCCTTTCTCTCTCCACTCTCAAAAATAATTGGAACAGTCACGTGCAATCCCATTTTCCTGGGTGTGGATCTGAAAGTCGGAAACCAAGCCCTTGAGGAAATATTGGCCTACCCGAGCTCATGACAGCATTGTTCATATCAGGTGAAGGTGGAGCACTCAAGTAGTTGTGGGTAAGTGACTACACACACACACACACACACACACACACACACACACACACACACACACACTGCAGCATTGTTCAGCCTCACGAGGATGGCAGGACTCCAGGACGTGAGCCATCCTCCCTGCCTCCCAGGATGTACGTTAGCTGGGAGATGCTGGGAAGCGGGGACAGGACTTGAACTCCGGGCACCCGTGTACAGACTGTGGGAGTCCCACCCCGTAACTTAGCCACTGCCCCAAACGTCCTTTCCTGGACCCACTTCGACAGCAGTTCTGAGGACCATCTGGGGATCTGAGTGGGGCAAGTAAAGAGGGGATATCACTTCTTAATACAGGAGAATCATGAGGCCACTTGAATCGCTCAAAAACCATTTATTTATTTGAAAGGTGGAGTTCCATGGAGAAAAGGAGAGAGATCGTCCACCTGTCAGTTCACTCCCAAATGGCTGCCACAGCCGAGGGGCAGGCCAGAATGAAGGCAGGAGCCAGGGAGTCCAGTCAAATCCTGGAGGGTGTCCAGTGCCCCGGCACCTGGGCTGCCTTTTGCTGCTTTCCCAGGTGCATGATCGGAGAACTGGATCAGCAGTGGACCAGCCGGGACTCTAACCAGCCTCCCAGAATACCAGCTTAACCCACTGTGCTACAACACTGAGTGCAGCCATTCACATATTTAACATCAAACTTTATGCCCTCACTTGAGTAGAAAAAGCAGCCACTGAGAATATCTGCTGGTTGAATGTCAACTGCACACACAGGAGTTAAAGCATCCAACCTGGGATCAGTCACAACCATCTTCAAGTGTCTTCAGGACCACTTCCTGTGGAAAATAAAGGCTAGCATAGCCAAGGTGCACTGTGCGAAGGGCCATTCTGGGTAGAAGGAGGAGGAAGAGGAGGACGCCTGGAGCCAGGGGACGGGGTTGGCCCTGCCTGGTTAGCAGGGTCCTTGGCTAGCCCTGTGGTGTGGAGAGGCACCCCCATGTGGTGCACACACTGCAGCGATGCTTTGGCTTGGGGAACCGCTGAACAACACTGGGAGTGACACACACGAGTTACATTTTATATTATTTTAATTAAAATGATCTGTTTGTTGAAGAGAGCACCGATTCATTGGCCCACACGGCCACAACGGCTTGGGCCCGGCTGGGATGAAGCCAGAGACAAGAACTCGCTTCACAATTCCCTACAGAC